AGACTTCAGCCTAAAAAGTAACGTCAAAGCCCATGCAGAAGCCAGAAGTCTCCTCCTCTCGTCATCGACCTCTCAAAGCAGTTACTGAGCCATGGTGAGCTGGACTGCTTGTATATGACCGCCAGCGTGTGAGAGCAGCGAGAGCACACAGCAGTCACAACAGAGAAAACATACACACTTTAACAGAGATGAGTCACACTGGTGGGAGCGAACGAGATGTTTGCTTTAATATAATAATGTTTTAAAATGCAGGAAAAATGCCAACACATGCACGATTGACATACAAACAAACACACACACGCACGCACGCACGCACTTACATCTCATTTGCTTCATCACTTAAAAAACAGAGTGAAAATTGAGTTGTGGCTTTACAGGGAGTTCTGCACATTAAACTGTTGAGCTATTTTTTTTTTTTTTTACTTGTCTTTTGTTTCTGTTTTTACTGTCTTTTAAATGTATTTTTATATTACTTAGTGTCACTTTTATTCTATTCCTCTGAAAAGCACTTTGAATTGCTTTAAGTCTGAATGGTCCTATATAAATAAACTTGCCTTGCCTTCAGCAAGGTTATTTATTAATTTCTTTATTAATCAATTAATAGTTTAAACTTCCAAATGTCAGCATGATGTAAAAAAAACAAACAAACACAATTCAGTCAAAGATGACATCTTAAATTTACAATTTTTTGTAGAACCAACAGTCCAAAACCCAAAAAGATCCAATTTTCAGTGATTGAAATCAGAAAGAAGCATCAAGTCCTCATGTCTGAGAAAATTGGAACCAGCAAATGTTTGGCATTGGTACATGATAAATAACATAAACTATTAATCGACATTTAAATTGTTTCACTGTTTAATTTACTGTTGATAAAATATAAAATAAGCCAAAAATATGGCTTTAGGTCTCAGGTCAGATTCGGGAGTCATATTTGGCAGTACCAGCCAGGTTCAGATCTCAGTTTTAGGCTGATGCAGAACTGTACAACCAGCTAGACAGTAACTACTGTATCACCCACAGCTGAACAGGTGGCAAGGGGAAATGGAACACATAAAAAACAACTGTAAGAAATTAACACAAAAGGACCTTTTAACTTATGTCCATAGGCCAAAGATAGAAGAACAGCAGCCTATAAACCGGGTTACTCAAACTACAACCTTGTTATCGCCGGTGTCTCATGAATTATACATCAGAGTGGAAATGACTTATACAGAACACTGTAGAGGTGGCCCCATCCCTCTGCTGGCCCCTGACATCCTGCAAGCCCCTCAGGTTCTTCACCGTCACACAGGCTGCATACAGACCCTTGGTGCCTGCCCGAGCCTCCTCAGGCTTGAAGTAAACATCCACGACCTACTAGTTTCCTGAGAGCCACAATTTTCTGCAGATATGTTCAGTACATGTGAACCAGGTGACCCGTCTTAAATCAGAAAGGGTCGGTATTCAGTCTGGATGCCACTAAGAGGTGTGTACTACGAAAGACTTGTTCCTACGCTCCATGACGCTTCTCTCTTAGCCACTTGACAGCGTGTGGGCTGTGGGGAAGAGAAAGCAGCTGTAAATCTTCTCCAAAGACAAAAACACAGATCATGAACATAGCAGGAAGCTGTTGCCGCTGTCCTGCGGCCGGCACATGAATGGCTCTGAGATCTCAGAGCCCGTTGCATCGTGTGCGTCTCTCCTTGCCTGAGTTGCGCTGCAGCGTGCCATAACCCCACAGACCACACACTGGCACGCACTCTCACACGCTGAACTGCCAAATTTAAATGGCTGGTTTTCACAGCGTGTAAATAGAGCGGTCTGTAACCAAATTCATCAGCCATCACGAGGCGTGCTGTGAAGCTGGTGTCTAGCATAAATGCTCTGATTCATACCATATGGGCATCGCTCATGTAGTCTCCATTAAACACACAGTGTACACAGCACTTACTGACAACACTCTACACCGAGGCAGAGGAATCAGAGATACTGTAGGTGCACATCTGATGGAGTGTCAGAGTCAGTCACGCAGAACAAGAATGTGTTACAGTAAGCTACGCTCAGTCTGCTCAGGCAGACAGGCTTCACTGTAGCAAAGCTTTGTGGGCTCTTGTTGGCCCATTGTCCACTGAGCAAGTATTGTGGCAGAGGGCATTGTATTGTTGACTGTCATGCGTGTCAGATGGATTACTATGGACCCGTTTTCTCTAAGCCTCGTACAGTAAGGCCAAATGTGCAAAGACTGGTCCCTACATTCTTGGATAAAGCTGCAGAAAACTAATTGATATGGGGGAAAAAAATGCAACAATAGATAATAGAAAATTAAGAGTCCAATCAGAGAAGGCAAAAAGAAAGAAATGTATACTAATACTATATTAAGTCTTTTTTTTCCAATATAGAGAAGATTTCTCTAAATGAAACATGACAAAGACGCCACAAGTCATCTTTATGAGGCTGTGCTTCCACTCAGCAGTGTTTTGGACTAAATGCTAAACATGCTCACAATGACAACGCAAGCAAGCTGATGTTTAGCAGCCATAATACCATATTCACCATCTTAGTTAAATGTGTTTCCATGTTAACGTTCGCTGATTAGCACTGAACACAAAGTGCAGCTCAGGCTGATGGGAATGTCATTAGTTTGCAGGTCATAAACCAAAGGACAAATTTGACTTGATGGTGACGGTAGATGGAACATCAAAGTTATTATAATTAACCCTCAGGAGACAGGAAGGAGTTATGAATGTCTGTGCCAAATTTCATCACAATCCATCTGATAGTTTTTAAGACATTTTACCCAAAGTCAACCTCAGGAAAAGTCCGGTGATCACAAATTTCACTTAGATTCTTCCTCTGGGGACCGTGAATGTCTGTACGGGCAGCGCTCTCTGTTCAGTGATTAATTATGACAGAACAGAAGGAATTTTACTGAGTGAAACTCTTGCCATACACTGGAGAATTGATTTAGTAAGAATATCTAGTCCACCGCCACACTTCCCTCTGTGTCTTTCACTGGCCGAGCTCCATACCTCTTTGGCGATTTTCCAACTTTGCTCCGGCACATCATCCTACCCTCTCCCATATCCCCTCCACACACACACATGAACATGAACACACACACACACACACATCTCCTCATTCTCTCTCAGACATCACACCATTGCTGTTACTACGACTGCGTCTCACTCTCACTCTTTGTGGTCACACGTTCACGCCTTTCTCGCTGTCTGTGCTTCTCCTGACAACTCAGTATTTCATTCTGTCCACCACTTTCTGTCCTCACTCGCACTCGGTCTGGTGTGTGTGTGTGTGTGTGTGTGTGTGTGTGTGTGTGTGTGTGGGTATGTGTGTGTACCTTTGTGATGAATTACTGTCAGCTATTGAACCAACCTGCCACCTGTCTGCCACATCACGCTGATCAACAGCGATCTCTCATCCTCTACTTTGTTTTGCTACCCCTTGATCGGCCAACTCTGCTTGTGTGATTGTGTGTGTGTGTGTGTGTGTATGTGTGTGTGTGTAGATGCCAACTCGTTCTAATAAAAAGTAGCAATTTGAGGATGATATTCATAACATAAAACTAAACAAAAAAATAACAAAACAAAAAAAAAATCTGGAGATCTGCAGCTGTTCTTTCCTGCGGCATCCAGGACACTATTTATTCCTGACGAGAAGACAGACTGTGCCATAAATCACACACACTCCAGCTACATGAACACACACACACACACAGGTCATGATCCATCCATCCGTCCATCTATCTTCACTACAAACAGCGCCATAAGGGAAAAAGGAGAAATTTAATTTGAGTGAGTGTCAGTGTGTCAGCGTGCAGCCATGAATGTATGTGAGTCAAAGTGTATGTGTTTAAATGCTCCCGGCTGTTGTCAGCTCTCCCTGGTTGGCATCACAGCACCATATGTCTGTCTGTGGGGCTGTGCTGACGTGTGCCACCGCTGGAGACCAGGCCGACTGCGCACACAGCACAATGACAGCTTTATGCCTGCATGCAATACTCTTGCCAATAGTCACATCCTGCAGCTCTGTGATCGGTGCACATGTGGAACTCAGTACCACTGGCTTACAGAGGTGAGACAACAGCAGTGATGGTTTCCCACCTGCTGGGTTAAATCTTGACAAAGTTTAAGTGTGTGTTATTTGTGCAGTTAATTCATGGGCTTTGCAGAATTTACTGATCCATGGGCGAGACAAGAGGGTGCCCAGGTGCCCAGCCTATCTGAGTCATAGGGTGACAGGTAGTTGGTTTGTTAACATCATGGACAGGCCCAGTGGGTACAAGCCCAAGGCCCCTGGATCAGAACTTCTGTATGAAGTGACTGTTAACAGTTAACAGCTAAGTTAAAATAGGTTAAATCTGAGTGTCAACACATATTTACGTTCCTTCTTTAGAACTGTGCCAAAATCTGTCTTCTCCATTCAAAAGTTTCTAGACATGCCCCTGTGCTGACCTATAGGTGGATGTACTCACATCACTGCCATGACTCTATCAATGAATCTGTGTCTCGTAGCTACGCTTGGCTGACCGTGAGGGGACCTGCCAGGGCCGGAGAGACACCAGCTTCCAGCTGACAAAGGCTCAGATAAACACAAACACAAGTCTCCTGGCTACAGTACTAATGACACCTCATGTGTGTTTAGCTATTATAACCATCCCCAATGTAAGTCGATCTGTCAACCTTAAACACATGTAGCACATAAGTCATTTCTTGAAACCATCATAACAAAACATGAGTAAAATCTATCTTTTAGAAGGTAACTTTATGTCAGTACCAGAAAGAGTCATGGTGTTTATGGGTTGATTAGATCAGTGGTTTGGCATAAAACAAACTCCATGCTAAGTCTGAAATGACAAAAGTCACTACAAATAGCATTATGATCATCATCTTCATCACTACATTGATAAACACTCAGGCAGCAGCCTACAGAGGCACATGTCTAGTGGCAGTTAGTGCTGAAATAGCTACAAATCAACGGTATCAATTGCATTGACCGATTCATACCTTGGTTGTCCTCGTCCATGTCTGCAGCCTATAAATCAAGATCCCCCAAAAATCGGTCACAGAAACTTCCGTTGTGCGAAAAACGTCTAATCTACGGCAAATGCGCGTCAGCCTAATGTCCAGGGCGCATTGGGTATACAGGTTGTCTCACGGGCATCGTCTTCTTTTTGGAAAATGTTGTGGCCATTTACGTCTCACAGTCGCCAGGCAGCGCTCCGGGTCCCGTCAGTCAGTCAGTCAGTCAGTCAGACAGTGAGCAGTGTGTCTCTGTAGGAGCAGCAGCAGCAGCGGTGGCGGCAGTGGTTGTGGTGGTGTCTTCTTGCCCACTGTGGCCCGCCGTGTTATCGTTATCCCTCCAAATACGCCTTCACTCCACTAGTATCGGGAGAGTAGTTGACACGGCTCCGTCAAGTTGGCGAACACACAGACGAGAAGGATTCAGGATGTAAGGTACTTTTGTCTTCAAAATAAAAGAGTCGTGCTTACTCAAAGGTGTGACACGTTGCTCATCGAGCTGTCTCTTTTATTTTGGAACCAGAAACAGGAAGTTGTTGTTATACCTTGGTGTAAATTGACAGTAGTTGTTAATCCCATCCACAGCCCCGTGCTGCGCGTCAGCAGTCATCGCTGCTCAGCCCTCACGTGACTCCAGGCAATACTGACATTATACCCAACAAATAATATAGGGCATCTATAGCGTTAGTATTGATTATACAACACGGTTTCATTTTGCTGGCTATACCCTTCGAGACCTCATTAGGCTACTGTTGGTTGTGTTTAGTTGTATTTTATTTTATTGCTGGATATACCAAAATAAATTGCATATTCTTGTGCATTTCCTACTGTACAGTTTCTTAGTATTTGCACACCTGTATGTTACCTGCATATTAATTTAATGCTACTTAATTCTTCTTAATTCTTCTGCTCCACAAATTTTGTATTCTTTTACTCCACTGCATTTATTTGACAGCTGTAGTTACAGGTTTGCACATTCCAATTATTAAAACAAAATATAGCCAGCAAATAAGTTATGAAGCGTTATTATAGATAAACCTGTCTAGCAATATATAAAGTAATTAAAATTACCTTCACCATCTGATTAAAGGGATCCTTACACACTGATGCATCAATAATTATATTAAAATACTACAATATATATAATATGTATACTATTTAACTTTTACCACTTTTACTGCTATTTTGATGCTAATACTTCTATACCTTTAGTCAAGTAAAACTTTGAATGCTAAGTATTTCTACACTTCTATTTTTACTCAAGTAAGTTCTGAGTACCTTAATCCAGCAGTACATTTCCATGTATCCACTGTATATTACAGGTAACCACCCTGCACCATAAAGTTATTTATTATAGACAGGTGTGGGAGAAAATGGTGATCAATACCATAATGTAAAAATATTGTTACAAGAGAAATCTCTCCATTCAAAATTTTAAATGAAAGTACAGAAATATTACCAGAAAATGACTACTAATTAAGTGAATTTTGTCAAATTATTATAAGATTTGTATATAAAATCTTATTCTGCAAAGTAACCAATAACCATGTAGCTGTGTAATAAATATAGCGAAGTAAAAAGTAAAACATACAGTATTTTTGCTCTGAAATGTAACTGGCCAGAATAAAGATATAAAGTACCAGAAAATGAAAATACTAGAAAGTAACTATCCCCCCGGTGTTTCAGTGGTGCAGTCCAGTGTCTTGTCTGCAGAGAGGCAAAGCTTTAAAGAACACAGACAGCATTAAACAGGCAGCACATTATTAAGACAAGGACAGATAGAAAGATTTGTGGTGAGTGCTGTGCACAAGAGCAGCAAAAATGATTTATGGAATTAATTTATGTGAACTACACAGCTGCGCAAAGTGCTGTGAAGTGACATGTTGCATCAATATATTGTACTCTGTAGTGATCCAACCTGCAAACAATCCAAAAATATTCTCATTCATTTCAGAATAGACTATAAGGACTTCTGGAGACTGTTATATAAGCTGGGAGAACCACCAGGTTAGGAAACATTGGAATGGAGAATACACACACACACACACACACACACACACACAGAGCTTTGCAGAGCTTGTTTCTACAACACACGTGGTTTCAATTATAGCATTCCTGCCTCCGCACAGAAGGAGGGGGTCTCACTTCCTGTGTGCATTACTCCAATGGTCAAGCATGAACAGATGTTTTAATGTATTCATTCATTTGTTTATTCATAGGTGTCTCTTTTAGACAAATATTTCACTCTCAGTCCTTTCTTCTAAACAAAGTGACATCCTCCAGACATAACACAAATATTTGTTTTGTTAAAGTGGATGGAAAAGCAAATTATTTACCTCCTTGTTCATGTATACTCAAGCCGGGCTTGACTGATATGTCATCACTTAAAATGTACATTCTCAGTTTCACTTTCATGACTTGATATACAGATAAGATATAATGTCTTCCTCTCCTTAAATCTGCTTGTTCATTTACCAAAGAAGTAACGATAAAGGGCGTATGCAGACTCAGATGAGTCCTTTGCTGCAAGTTCGCATCAGCAGGGCCAAAAAATTACACAATCCAGTGAACCTCCTCGATCCGGTGTAATCCAGTCTGGCGCAGTCTGGTGCCGAATAACAAGAGCAAGAGAAACTGGAGACCTACAGTGAGACCCTGAAGTTACACCTGGGTAACACACACTGGCCTAAAGTGGTGGTGGTGTGTGTGGGGTGGGGGGTGGGGGGGTGATTATATCAGGTTGGATATTTGGGTACATGCATCCAGACAGTGTTTGTTTTTCTCTGCACTCTGGCATGAAGCGTATGCTGTGATGACCTAACCGTGTGTTTTAAAGGAAACTTAATTCCCTGGCATGTGTGGCACTTCGTTGAGTGGGCAAAAGGAGGAAAAAGTCCTCAGAGGGAGTGAAAAGGTGTTAGTTTGATTTCTTGGTTGTAAGTTTCAATTTGGTGGTAACTAGGAGAAAAGAAAACAGGGACATAGGGAGTGTTAAGTGAGGGGGAATCTAGGTGAAGCCCCTGCAGCTGGAGGCCCAGAACGAGTCTTTTTCACTTCGGTCCCACTAGTTATGAGGTTTTACATACTAGGTGGATTGATGCAAACTAGTTAGCACACAGAGCAAACACTGATTTGAATATTTTCTGTGCTACAAGTGGAAAATAGGTCATATGCATTATGATGGTGATAGCTTTGGGAATATGGTTAGACAAATGTAATGTTACTGTCCATTTCTGTCAGCGCTGGACCTGGTCAAGCAGAGCATCCTCACTGAAAGTCAGAGTAAGTTCCATTAAAAGCAATTAGATTCCTGAGTCTGTCTCTTTGACACACACACCCACACACATACACACACACACACAGTGCTCTATTCCACATAAATGTCATGCTAATGTGTTTATGAGTCATAGGAGAAACCTCTGAGTGTGGCCCAGATATCCTCACTGATGAGAGTGAATGTGAGTATGCAGACGAAAGGTTTTAGAGCTTTAAAATCAATACGCTATCAATCCGGCTCAGTCATTTTTAGAGTGTGTAAGAGTAAATGGACATCGCAATGAATCTATCACTTCCAAACCACAGAACAAAGACTTTAAAGTCGGCACAAAGAAAAAGTCCGGCTGGAAGTGAACATGTGCAGGGTTTTCGGGCTGTCTGACTCTCTGTCTGTTGTGCTGCTGAGGGTGCGTACCCCCAGGGAGCCGCACGTCTGGCAGATTAGGCCAACCATCATGGGAAACGTCTGTGGTACTCCTGACCGACTTCACGTGACCTGATTGAGCAGTCATACCACTTCATATGCTCCAGTCACCACAGCAATGCCCAGAGGGCAATCACCTCCTCTTTTTAAAATGGCTGACACACCCCCACCCCACCCCGGCTCATAATTACACGCATACATACACAGATAAGCAACCCCCTCACATCCCTAACCTCCATTACTCTACCTCCACATCCCAAAACATCACTGCCTACATAATGCAATCAAGTGGAATCACATTACATCGCATAAACCCTGTTTAAGTATCTGAATCCTTCTTTTCTCTGTGAATATCAAACAGATTTGAGGAGCCAGTGAGGAGCACTCCTGAGTTTAAAGCAATGCCACAGTGAATTTCACCATATGAATACTCTGATTAAGTCATTTTAGCTCCTGTTTGTGAGTGGTATTTTGCTGATTGGGACATGAGCACCACATTGATCCACATGCAGATATCTTAGCAACTATTTGATGGATTGCAGTGAAAATAATCATACTTCCCAGGTGATAAATCCTTATGACTTTGGTGATGCTGACTGACCATCTAGGGCCATCATCAGGTTTGAATTTCAGTTTGTTCACCACTTTTTGTTTGTGACTAAATACTGCAAATAATGACATTTCCATCAGCCTCAGCTGACGCAGTGAATTTCACACAGAAATACTTAGATCAAGTCACTTCAGCTTCCTTATTTAGATATTATTTAGATAAAGGAAACTAATGCTGACTGGGAGGTGATTTTTTTTTCCACTGATGCTGCTCTAATCTTTCTCTAATGTGTTTGTACCTGAAACCCTGAACTAGACTGTTCTGAACCGGTGGATGTGACAGGGTTACACACCTCCTTCCTGTTGTGGGGGTTGAGGAGGTCAATCTTTGGGTGACGGCGTTTGTGCACATGTGTGACAAAGGTCACAGGAAGCAGAGTCCGGCAGGATTTCCTCCTTCCTTCACTTTGGTTTAATATCCAACTCTGCATCTCGACCACTTCTTTCCTGCCACCATCTGATCGAAGGGCAGAGTTGAGCTGGTTTTCTGGATCCAAGGACACATATGAGTAGAGTCTTTATTTGGAGTCTGTTTGCCGGGCACAAAGGCAGCAGTGTATGTCTGAGAACTTGAACGTAAAGCTGTGTGTGTTAGTGTGTGTCCTTACATCTAAAGTACAATCCTCCTTGACCTGCTGTGGTTGCATAATTACAAGCTGTAAAGGTTACTCCTCCTAATAGTGTTACTACTGAGCATATAGTTAATTCTCAACCTTTACAAAACCTTTATCATCCCATTCTCTCAGTTATGAAATGAAAAAATTCACTAAATGAAGTCAAGCTCAACAGCTACCCAAGAAGTCATTTCAGTGTTTATCAGTCGAGAGATTATGTGATCAGGATGCTGTGTAACAGCACACAGAGGAGTGCAACAGGGGGGTGCAACAGTAACATGAGATAAAAGCAAGAAGCATCAATAGCTGAACAACAATCCTTTAATACCCCTCTGTATAATATCTAAAAAAAAAAAGAAAGCTGTTAAGTCAAATGCAGCT